ATATCATTAAAACAAATTGGAACTGCAAAATGATAATGCAACATATGAATCATATGTCTTGCTTCACATACCCCATAAATACTGCATAACTGAACTGCATAACTTAGCTTCACATAATTGAAGTCAAGTACACGTACACATTGATATTTAATACAATATATGCGAACGATTGTCTTGTCTATAATAACAACTTCTGAGAAGACTAGTTCTTCTGTATTTTCGATGTATGTTGTTGTAGGTTAGATTGACGACTTACTGCGAATAAACGATATAAAACCCCCCGGAAGGCCCACATGGTACGCATGTGGCCAATGAACTATGCATTAAAGAGTACATTATTTTATATTATTAATAAGCATTATAAGAGCTGTAGACGTTAAGAAACTTCTTATATTATTATTTTATATATTTTTATTTCTTTTTTCTTTTTTTTTGCAGGTAAGAGAGAGAAAAAAGGAAAAATTGTAAGTAATGCGTGTTTTTAGCATTCATTAGTTAGGATAAGAGTAAAAAATTTCCCCTGGATCAACTATATATTTTTTCTCTTCACTTAAAGTGGTATCCAACTTTATTATATCCACCACTCGTTTTCTCATAATATTTGCAAGACCCAAAACGAAACTGCAGAGACTCTATAAAGGCAAAGAGATACCGAGAAAGCATGAAATTCTGAATTGATTACGTCATGTCTGTCCGTCTGAGTGGTATGTGTTGTTGACACGCTCCTAACCGCCAAAATGAAGGCATCGAAAGCAAGCTTGGTTGAAACATTGCTTTTGCGCGCAATTGGTCAAATTGGTCAGATTACACGCCCGCATTAAAGCAGAGACGGCGCTTTCCTAAGCAAAAGGTTGGGGATTGTGGCTGAAGTTATGCCTTCTTATCGTAAGATAAACAAGACGGAAATTATTTGGAATTATTTTGTACACTTTTTAAATGGAAATATTTTTTTGTCTGCGTTATGGTGGACACCACGACCTGGTGTCCTGGTGTAATCTTTTCTTAACAATTATAGTGAACTAAAAGATGGAAGGTAAAGTTTATTCCGTTCGCTTTCTTGTAACTGACTTTAAAGGTATGGGATGCTAAGAGTTTTAATTGTGGCGGGTATGCGAGATTCGGCCTTAGCCGAATATAAATTTCTTACGTATTTAAATGATGACTCTTTTACGGCAAGGTTGTTGCACATTACGAAATGGTATAATATAAAGCATAACATTATAATAATAATAATTATTATTTATTTAAACCAAAGAAATAAAAATTAAGCGAATAACACAAGAAAAGGCAAACTTGAAATTTGAGAGTGAGGTTTTGATAAAACTATAAATTTTTTTGACATTACTAGCTACTACTGCCAGTTTAGGAAGGATCTTGGCGATTACAAAGTGTGTGATTTCTTAAGAATGTACTGATGTATTAGTAATGCAAATTCATGCAAATCTTCTGAATTTTATTGATATTTATCGGGTAGATCGATAGGAGCCGCTTATGAATAATATAAGATTGGTATGAATAATAGTAGTATTGTCGATTTTTTCCTAAATTTTCCTTTTCACTTTTTGCTCAAGTCCCTCTTTCCCATTCTATCGCGCTTAAATGATTGTGTGAAAGTCAGAAATTTACCCACTCGGTCAAGAGACGTACATAACTAGTTACTACAAAAAAGCAATTTAATCTTATCCCCATAGATGGCGGCTCGAAGTTGAGTGTCTAAGGCCGCTTTCACCATCGAGAGATTATGTGTGACGGTAATAGTTTTAAGTTTGCTTTTGCGAGCCATGTTTGGGACTTATAAGTTAATCTTAGCTTCGAAACACTTTTGTGTAGAATGTCACGGCAGAAGAGATTTGGCATTATTTTGTAGAATATGCGTGCGCTCCATTCCACGAGGCTCCTTGGGGAGTTCACTTCATTGTTAGCTCTAGTTCTAAATGTTTATAGGATATGTATTTGAAGAATTTAGGCCCATCAACCCATTACATCACAAGAGTTAAAAAAGCACGTGAAGCGATTGTGTCGAATGCTTTTTCGAAATTGATTGAAAAAATTGACTTGATTTCTTTTAGAAATTGCTGGGTTTTCAGCAAGAGCATCAATACATCTCAAGTTCTGCTTGTTACCAGGTCACTACGGTTTTTGTCTTCTAGTCTAGAAGCTATAATTTTTACCAATATATTTGAGAGCGAAAACAACAAAAATATTGACATTTATCTGATGCAGCGGAGACATTTTTATTTAGAATCTGCTCAAGGTTGTGTACAATCTCTGCGAGAGATTCTGTATAATTAATTCAATACGCGAGACCAGTGCTTAAGAAATCCTAGCATGCATCTAGCTTTATTGATGGACAGGTTCATATGTAAATTAAAATGAAGTTTGCTGTCGAACAACACTCTCTATTCGCTAGTCTATTCAGTTTTCGGTAAATCTCTCCTATATATGCTTAAGTTTTCAAACTGAAAGTTCTTCGTTGCTTTAATTCTGTCCTAAACTGATCGTACGCTTTTTTCTATAGTAACAAATTTTTTTGATGGAAATGAGTTTTGAAATGATACCATAAATCTATTTTTTTCATCCTTCTTAGCAAGATCGCCGTGTATACTCAGCAGGGAAGAATTGCATGTTGAGAATAATTGTTAGTTGAGATATGAACAAGTATGCGGTAATGCCTCCAACTTGGGTGATTGCAGTTTCTGCTAAAAAGCCGCGTCGCATGCTTGTAGTAATTAATCCAATCAGCGTTGCCCAGAACAAATATTGTTTGGTTTTAAAGAATATCAGAAATGTCGTAAGACTCTCATGCTTGCGAAAAAAGTAGTAACAAAACACGAGAAAAATTAAAAACAGTGTTTAGGAAATAGTGCGTTTTCGAAAAATTCCTTCCGAAATTTGAAGGCGCATTAAGGGGACACCAACTGAATATAGAAACATTTAAGAATAAAACTTTTCTTTATTATTTTAAATATTATGTTTAAACGTTTGGGTCCTTATAGCATTATACAGACCCATGAATGATTTTTTTTTTTTTTTTTTATGTGCAAACAAATGCAATTTCCATCTAAGAATATCATAAGGTTACACAATTTAAAAACGAAAGCGAGCGAAAGAAAAAGCCGGCTTTTTTTTTTTTCCATTACATTTCGTTCGAACGGCTACTCGTTGATATTCTTTGTGACGCCAATGGTTAGAAATGGTACAAGCATATATAACACTTACTATATTATAATATTAACAGGCATGACGCATACGGAATTGTGCCTTCCTTCGTTTGAAATATTAAACAATGGTGTCATGTTTTCATATCGCACATGTCGGCATAATTCTTTTCTTTATGCGGTTTGTTGATTAGAAAAAAATTTAGTCTATTCCACTGTAGACGACTCGTTGCAACTAATTTTTACGAAACTTAACAACTCAGTCGGTTAACATTTTTTATTCCTTTACACTAACCAATGTGCAAGTGAATCATCATCACCATACCTGTATGCAGTTAGTTTGTTGGCGCCGTTCTATTATTAAAATATATTCGATAAGTTTCCCCCATAAAACCGTTTATGTCATCACGCAACTTTAAGTATTCTTCTGTGATAGTACGTTAACGGTGTCTCTCGTTTGTAATAACTTAGGCTCTCTATGCTGTTGGGAGAGTTGTATTGGTCTTCCATACTTCTCTCTTTTATTTCAATATTTTTTATGTTCACGCATCGAACTCTCTCTCCCTCTCTCGCTGTTTTATTACTATTAAGGGTACCTATTAATTTCATCGTTCTATGGAAGAAGCCGCTTAAGTGTATCGTAAATTCTTTATCTCTATAGTCTTTCCCTGTCGTTTTACTTACGGTGATCCGTTTGTATTAAAGGACGGAGGACAAATGAAGTATAACTTGAATAGGAAAATTTTATTTTTTTTTTTTTAAACTTTTTGCGAGCGTCTCAAGCACTCGACGAAGATTGTGAAGCATTGCAAAAACATATTTGCCTTTCGCTTTCCTTTTCCCTGAACCCGAGAGAGATTCTTTCGAACTTGTACATCTTACTCCGAACTTCAATAACTTTAATGGATCGTGTTTCATATCAATCTGGATTCGGTTACATTGATGACTTTGTTGAAGACTTATCTTTACTCGTATTATTTGAAACTTAGGTCGTTTTCAGAAATTCTTAAGCGATAGAAACTCTATATGAAAAGCAAAAAAAAAAAGTCGGTATTAACGTAAATCAAAGCCGCATTCACCTGATCAGTTGTTTGAATAGAAAATCACGTGTCGGCTTAAAGGTTAGTGTAGTGCATATTTAAATATTTTCCTTGAAATATGTTATGAAATAACCGGCATTTTTTGTCAGAGAGAACGAAAAATCGCAAAATGTCAGCATAAAAAAGCATAGGGAGGCAGGATTGGTGTTTTTTTTTTTGTTTTTCCTTTCATCTCTCTAACCGTTTTTAGTCATCACGTCTCCGTTTTACTCCTACTCCTCAATAAATTTAGTTAAATAAATATTTAGACGCATGACATTTCAAACATGAGCTAACTTGAGAGTACCAGGAGGATATGAAGAGAAAAAGGAGAGTGTCTCATCAACATAAATCAAATTTAACCGAAACATTAATTAAGGACGTTCCTTTGAACATCCAAATGTTTTTGAATAATTTTGATATTGATTTTAAAATTTTAAAGCATATAAATATTTGACATTTTTTTTTTTTTTTTGCATTATTTTTGTATTTCTTATCACGTTTTTAAATTCTCCTACTCCTATTTGTTTTCATATTGCCCTTTTTTAAACTGTCCAAAACATCCCTTTCTAAAGATATTTCAAATTTTTTCGTTGCCTTTCTGACAAATCCTTCATGTTAAAAGGTTATAAGCTGTTGTTAAAAATTCTCCAACACTTAACTTTAGTACGCATTTGTCGTTCGTGGCGTTTATACCGTTACAATTTTTAAGCAAACCACCCAAAAGGTCTTAGGCAAAACAAGCAAAAAAAAGAAAAAGCGCATTTTACTCTTTAAAACGACTGCGCTACTCTTATATTTTCTCTCTCACATTGATACGCTCTGAGCTGATTTGATTTATCATAACTAGCATTAATGCTGAGCTAACTGATTGAAAAAAACTGCAGCCAACTTCAGATCTATATACAACTTGGAACTGTCAACTTAAAGACCCATAAAGACTGTTATCGTTGCCCTCATCGTCGCCGTATTAGCAAAAATTTCTCGCGAATAATCAGGAAGAAAGGAGACCGACCGACCGTTTTACGTTTAACTTTTCTGAAAAACAAAATCAAAAAAAAAATTTTTAAAGACTGGAGTATAAGAAAAGTTTATTCTTTTTAAATAAAGAATTAAAAAAAAACAAAAATTAAAAACGAAAACAAAAAACAAATTGAAAAATTATTTTTAATTCTCACTTTAAAACATCTGTTAGACACCGCCCTCTTTGTGTCCAGTGTGCAGTAAAAAAAGTAAACAAAGTATCTTTAAAAATATTAAACATATCTTCATAGAAAAGATATTTTCTTTTATAAAAAAAAAAACAAAAAAACAAAAAATACTTAACTTTTTTGTAAATTTAAACAAATTCAAATCATAACATTTTGTGTAAGCTAAACAAGCAAACTAGTCAACCGCTTAACTTGAAACCCGTCGCGACGTTAGTTGTTAATTAATCACCTCTTTTTTGTATTAAATTTATAAATAAGTATTCGAGTAAAATCGATAAATTATTTAACAAAATGCTGATTGGATTAGTACGCGACTCTGTTATGCAGTGCTTCTGCCATACCTGCAGGGCACCAATTTTGCCAGCTGGTAAGATATTTCGTCTTGTAAAGATTTCATGTATAATTATAAATATTAAATTAAATTAAATTAAATTAATTAAAGCAAAAACCATTAATTATATCAAAAAATAGTTTAAAACGAATTGTTAATAAATAGAAAAGTCAAAACAAGGCCTGTTCCATAATTGTTTTCTGTTTTGTTTAACGTCTTCGAGACCTTTTGGGTTCCTTAGTTAGGATTCTTTCAAGCGAAATGACCAAAAAATAGCTGAAATGGCAAAGAAAATTTCCGAACTGTAATTGCAATATTGCAAGATAAAAATTCCTGAAACAAAAATGGCAACACCTTATTTTAGCTTTCACATATTCGAGACCAAATAGCTGGGTCATTTAAGCCGATCGATTGCTAAGCTTAATTGTCATCTAAATTAAACGAAAAACTTCAATCTAAATCTTGTTTTAAACTAATGACAATGAGGTCTAGGTAAAGGAATTAAATTTTATGATATCAAAGGGATTTTCTCTGCTTGTGTCTACACGTGTCCGTGATATCGCTAATGTTTGCTTCTTGCTTTTTTTACGACGAATTAGTCAAAAGATATTCGTTGCACCTGTATAAACGCGATGATAATCTGGGTAGAAAAAGTATGGAAAAAGAACTAAGAGATGCGGCCGCAGCCTGGAAGACCTATGTGCTGATCGGTAGATGTTATGACTGCATCGATCGAGCATTCACTATAGTAGCAGGCACACGCCAATTGTAACCAGTATATAATCTACTGCAGTGAGAATTGCACTCGGACACGACAATTCGAATGTCGCCACTCAGTAGTTCTTCGAGATTTACAAGGTCGGTTTGTATAGTTCATCTTAGTTCTTTTAGAGAAGACACATAATAGACTTAATTTTGAACAAAAGTCTTTTTTTATTTGAAAATTGTCCGCCTAAATGGCCGAAGGCAAGGAATCTCGACTAGCAACTCAATGGTCGCGGGTTCAAATCTCAAGTGCGGTAGAGTTTTTAATAAAAGCCGATAGCCTTAGATGTGCTACTGCTTTAAGAGTCTAGTCTTAGAATTTATTTCTCCGGCGAAATCAATATTGCCAAGTAGGCAAAGGATATCCACTGACAACTTAATGGCTGTGGGTTCAAATCTCAATTGCGGTAGAGTTTTTAATAAAGTCGGATACCTTAGATGTTAAAGCTTTAGGACTTTACTCTTAGAATTTACTTCGCTGAATAACTTAATAATAATAATAATGCTTTGCTAAGTTTGAATAGAATCTAGAAACTAGATAAGAAATTTTTGAGGCGTAATTCCTTAGGGAATGACTTTCAATATATGTTGTTAGTGATCATTTTTGCGTCCGCACATGTATGGATTTAAATGAAAGCTGAAATTATTATCGTTAATGGAATTTTGAGCGTGGAAGGATAAATCGCTTATTTCGAATTTTTTTTTGTTTTTATTATATGCGTGAAGACCTATTCGTTTGGCATGCCGAGCATTTGCATCAAATAAAGCCAAATAAATTATGATATAACATATTTCAGTTTCCTCTCTGGTCGGTAGTTGATAGTTATTGTTATTCAAATCGATCAAAATAAAGATTAAGTTAATTCCGATCAAATTGGGTTTAATGCTGACACTGAATTGCATATGAAATTTACTCGATTTTTGCTATGACTTCATATGTGCTCTATCGACTTAAAATATTGAATGTAAAATATGTTGTCAGCTAAGGGTGTTTCAGTCAATCTGAAGTCTGAGATCAATTTTATTCCGACATTTAAGATAGATTCGGCGAACATTTTGAATAAATTTAATGTGTGTGACTTGTTAAACTTATAAATTTGTTAAACTGATAATCTATAATATATTTTTGTAAACTTGGTAACAGCAAAAATAAGTAAGTAAACAGACGGACATGAGAATCTTTGTTATACTTTGTTATGCTTTCATTAAAGGTCTAGAAGAAAGCAATCTTTTAGAAGAAATTGTTGAACATTAGAAAAGTTCTTTAAAATTTTTAAACAAGGTGCCTAAAACTATGTTAGAATTCTAAACGCGTCTGCATATTACGTCTTTACAGTTTATTCTCTCGTTAAGTTTATTGTCATAGCGACCATGCAAGTATAACGAGTTCTTCTTTCATTTGGAAATACGCTTCATGCGCCTGATGAAAACACGTTTTCTTTTTTAAATCATTTTAACAATGCTCATATTTCTGTCCATCCGTCCGTTTGCACAAATGAAACTTGGAAAGCTTTAATTCATATATGATTTTTAAAAATATACTTTTTAAATTTTTGCATTGATGATTGCATACAAAGCGTTACAACGTCGATCCTATATATTATTAATATGATGTAAAAATTAAAACAAATATATCCCAGAGCTATTTAAAAATCGAGTGTGGTATCGGTCTGACACCAATTGGGGACATTTGCAATTCGCAATATATTTTACCGTTTTTATATGAAAATCTAACCCAAGGCAAATATAAAAATTTTGCTTGTTTTTTCATCTCTTTTTTTATATCAAAATCGCTTAAACTCCTGCCTGCGAAAAATAAAACAAAAGAAAGAAAATAGTATACAAAAGCATGCTTCATGAATATTTTATAGCTCACATGGCAGACATCAGGCGCCAAGAAAATGACTCATAAGTTACAACGTAAATTTGGATAATGTAAATAATAGTATCGTCAATGGCATGCAATCGTAAAAACTAATAGTTTTCTCTATTAAATTATTTGAATTGTATGCTTTCTTTCTTTGATTAGTTGTCTAAATTTTCCCTTAATTTTTACACACACACACACACACACACACACACAATTGGGTATAAAGCCTAATGCAAAAAAAAATAAGGAAAAATGACAGCAAATCGATTGAATCTTGATTGTTATCTTATTGCGTTTCCTTTGAAATTATAATGAAACGACAATTCAAAGTATGCTTGCAGGCAAACTTAATGGCCTTGATTTATTTCTAATTAATTTTTATATTCCCCCCTTTTTCATTTAGATAAAATAATTGCTTTTCATTCACTATATATAAAAAAAATCATTTCTTTTGCATATTTGTTCACTTGTGTAATATAAAACAGTTATTAATAATAAGTTTCTTCGCAATTGCATTTATTTCATTCATAATCAATCGGTTAAGGATATAACAATATAACTTTATAACGTTATATAATGCATTAATCATAAGCTGGAAAATCATTGATTAAACCTCTCGTGAGCCATGAAACAGTGCATACTCTTAAGAGACAGCAAATAAAATGCTACTTGCACGGAGTAAAATAAAGTCTTTATATCTTGCTCTTATCCATATATGATCCGATAGATGCATAGCATATTAATAAAACACAACGTTAATCGTTAAGGCAAAATATCTTCGTTTTCCAAATTTTCTCAATTTTTTTCTCCACATCCCCGAAATGAATGTCTCATCTCTCTTTCTCTCTCTCTCTCTCTCTCTCCCTCTCTCTATTCTATAACTTTTCGATTCGATAAAAGAAACTATGTATTCTAACTGTGATTTAATTTGAAGAGATTCTTAGAGTTCATACACTGCCATATTGTGGAAAATTGCAGCGACTTTATATCTTAAATACTACACTACTACACATATGTATACATAACGTAATTCGAGTTTGATTGTAAGTTTTGAATTTGCCGTATTGTGCGGCACGAAAATGTCATTTGTGGGAAGCGTTAATTTCTCTGTTTATCTCTGAAAAGTGCTGCTGAAAACCATTGATTGCCGTCGTTGACGCAAAATCAAAATGCGTTTGATTAAGTTAAACCATGAAAAAAAAAAACAATCATGAATGAAACCTTAAATATTCATAGCGAAGTGTAAAACTTCTACTACTCCAAATTCATATTCTGTATGTGACGTAGAATATTCCCATGTTCTCAACTGCAACACAGTGAACCATTACCGACATCAACTATCGCAGATAAGCAGAATATGAGAGAAAAATCCCGTTGCTTGTCTAATAAGGCAGTTTTTCAACGTGACAGCAGGCCGTTCAAGAAATGTTCACAGCTTTGAAACGATATGCGCTGTACTTACTGCCTTCCGCAGACATTGGTTCAATCCAGCTTAGTTAACAGTTTTCTTAATCGATTATATATGGATTGCCTAATGATGTGACAATACTGATACTCCAAAAAAAAAGTGAAGAAAAATTCGTGGCCAACGATTAACAATATTTCAAATAATCAATTTATAACCCCTCGACACCCCTTTTGTCATATATTAAAGAAAACAGGAAGTTCTTAACCTACAAAAAGAGTTAGTGGACCCGTGACATAATTAGAAGGATTAAAAATGTGTTTTTCCTCAAGAATTTTTTGAATCAAAATATTTGAGTAATACTTTCCCTTTATTAGTTTATTGATTTGGAGAAACTCAAAGCCCACTTGAAAAAAATTGCTTTTATTTTCAAATTTTGAATGTCCTTCCATCCAATTAATCATTTAGTAGTAGTTTAGTTTTTCGTATTTGAAATCAAGTGACATGAATATTTATACGATGAACTTGTTGTTGTTGCACAATAGCACAGGAGAAATCATTTTATCTAATTCAGATCACAATCAAAAAGTTTCTTGTTTACATTCATTGCATGATTTTTAAAATTTTACTCGTATTTAATGCAATTAAAATGCGTCTACTTTTTATTTATGCTGACTATGTTCAACTATTTGTTTGATCGGTTTTGCCAATAAAGCACGTTCGTAAGAAGAATGGCTTCGATAATTGCCCCTAACGACGCCAATTTTGCTTTAACCCTTAGTATGGTTTTCTCATTTATTCCAGTCGCTATAAGATTTACATGAAGATGGCCAAATGTTCTTAAGGCAGAGAAATACTTTTTTTTTACTATTTTTTTTTCTCGCTTCGCACTAGAGCATGAAAACGATTTATTATTTTTAATTAGTTGTGAAAATCTGAAAACATATCGATAAAATTTACTTTTTCTATTGTATTTAAGCTTAAATTTGATAATGG